TGCTATCAATATTCTTTGTTTCGTTTCGGGACGGAATCTCTTTGTGGTTTTTTTCTCCCTTTGTCTATGCTTCTAGTAGTGTGTTGGTCATTGATACTGTAGAGGCTCAACTCAAACTACAATTGGAGTTTCTTTTAAGTATTTCTAATGTTGCAATCATGACTGTAAAAAGAACTATATAGAGAATAAAGAGAACTTCAACTTGTACTAATTAAGTGCACGGCGGAGTGGATATCCGTCTTGACTTTATTTTTCTTTTCTTTTCTTTTTCTTAATATAGCAAATTGATTAATGACATAAAACATTGTTGCTTCGAAACAGAAAACAAAAATTAATTGAGGACATGTGAAGCTTATATGAGATAATTAATAGTCCTTGACGTTTAAACAAATGGTCACAACGGTGTCTTTTTGCTTACAAATTTGATCAATTAAAGTAATTATGATTCTTCTTCATTTTTTTTTTGTATCGACAATATTAAAGGTATTTTCAAATTAATTATAAGTTGGCGGATTGTGTCCATGACTCCTGGGGACGATAACATGTACAGCTTATAATCCGCAAGGATGAATACAGGAGGAAGAAAATTATGGACGAAATACAGATGTCATTTGTCAAAAATCGTCACCTCAGGAGGCAAACTTCGTGTTCTCATGCATTAACACAATCCAAGTCACACTCGTCTTTTATATTTGACATTATCAACTAACAATAGTTTTGTCAAATTCAAGATAAGGAAGGAGGACATGGATAGACAGCTACCTTATAACTGAGTTTAGACATTAATAGGGAAGTTACGTCACTCACGTTGTATTAGTTTATGTATTTATAGTTTATAAGTAGTTTTCTTTCTTAATGTCTTCTCAAGATGGGTGACCCCAAAGGACCAACAGAGTAGCAGTGCCTGCAAGTGGGGTCCCACCAACCCTCTTGTTGGCTGTGACCTATCTTGGCCTACCGCTTTAGCCAAACAATTGAGATATATACATGTATAGTTAATGTAAATATATAGTTTTTAATTCGATCTAGCTCGTCGGCCTTTTATTGTTTAATTTGTGTTGAAAAATGTTTTGAAGTATTTTTTTTTTTTGGGTATAATTTTCAGGTATCATTTTACTCGGTGAACAGATGTGTAGATAAGCTTCAAGTGATTGGGTTTCTCATTTTCTTGCCCAACACATGGCTACAGAAACAAAATCATAATTATAAGTAATTAGCATAATAAATAGTAATAAAGTGACATGACCTGATTGGAGACCTACATAAGAATTCAAATGCAGGCAAATCTCTTTTAAAAAGTAAACCAAAATTTTTGTAAATATTTTAAAAAATAATAATAATGATTCACTGAGCAATTAATTAAGCTGGTGAGCATTTATAGAACAACGAGAAGAAAATAATATTAAAAGAAGATGATAAAATGATTTGCCAAGTACAAAGAAAGTCGCCACACATACTGCATTGGTATGGTAGCGTTAACGTTTAGTAATTGTGTGGAATATTGGCGTAACATGCAATTAATAAAGGTTGTAAAAGATATGATAATATACGTAAAACAAGCCTTCCACGCAACCATCTAGTCCCCTTCCCCGCCACCTTCTAGTTGGAGTAACGGAGGAAATAACACTTCGAGTAAAAGTCTCAATTTTCTTTTATTTTCTTTCTTTTAATTATTATTATTGTTCCAGAAATGCATATTACTAATGTTCAATTAGCAAATGGGTTTTACATGCATATTACGGAGAACTGAGAAGATAAAATTACTATATGTAATTATGGTGAAGTAAAAGTAGCCATCCTAATCCTACACTTAAACGCTTGGATTCCTAGCAAGCACTTGTTGTGGATTGATGTTGTCTTCCGTTTCGGTTAAACAAGAGATGCGGCCCAAAGGTCAAAGATGGTTTACGGTAATAAGTGAGCTCCTTGAAACCCATTCAAATGTTGATTTAGGTAAATTGGATCCTTTCTTACTATTCCAACTTATTCCGCCTGGGAACGTAATTTTTCCTTGCCTGGAATCAACTTTTGTTAAATTAGACTCTTTGTACATAAATGAACAATTTCAATAATTTGGGTCTTGTTTTCTAATCAAAACAAATTTGAACTTAAATCTCTCATTTTAATTATGCGTAATTATGCATTATATACTACCCTCCATCATTTGCCTTAATATCAGCTTACAAATTAAGGTTTTTTTTTCTTATTTTTAATTTACAGGTAATGTAATTAATAGTTTACTATTTTGTTTCCTGCCTAAAGATTCTTTTTCCACACGAATCACTCATTTTTTTCTCTTTTTGATCAAGGTGTTATTAATCACGTGGCATTGTCGAACCTAAAGTCTTACTGCTATTGCCAATAGCTAGGTTGGTCAAGACTCAAGGATAAATGGATTGTCATTCATCAATGATAACTGTTACGCCAAAGACTTTTGATTAGGCCTTGGCCAGTCTCAAAGGATTTCTTAATTGTTGTTGATAATTATAATGCTTTATGTCTCAAAGGACAGTTAATGTGACTTTAACATGAAAAGTAAAAAATATCATGTGAGCATATAATCATGTCATGTTAAAATATTATATAATTATTTATTATAATATGTTAATATGTTATGTAAGTATATAATTATACTACATTAGAATGTTATATCATCCGTTATTATGACATAGCAACATGCTACGTTAACATTATGTAACGTACAACGACAAGTGACATATTATTTAATAACAATTCGTCAACAGTTAATTATAAAAGTCTATTTGACGTAAAATAAAAATATAAAAATTAAATTAAATATAATAAAAGAATAAAAGTATATTTAAAATTTTTTAAATAATTAATTTTTTTTATGTATTATATCATTAAAAGTTGAAGTAAAAGATTAAGTGAATATATATATATATACACACACCATTTACTTGTGACTATGACCAGGTATTTAATTAGAGGGATGTTTTCTTTTTTATTAAGAAAATAGATGTAAGATAGAGGATGTTACTAATTAACATAATAAATATGATAAATTTAATGTCTTAACTAAATGGAAAAACATGAGCTTAAAATAATGCTATTAACTTGTTCGTAACGCATTTATAAGCAATATCATATTTAAAAATATTTTTGATATTCTAATCAATGCAATGATCACAAATTCATAGCCCCCGCCCCCCAACCCTTTTTTCGTTTTTTGAATGTGAAATTTCCAAGAATTGTCTTCATATGAAGTTATCAATGAACCGAATATTGTACAATGACATCATAAAAAACAAATTTGAACAGTGTGCAACAATCTCATAAAAGATTTGATACTCTGTTTTCGTGAGCAAATTAATAATGCCATTGTTACATGCAAACCACATAAGCTGCACGATGAAGCTAACAACTTGAGTTACATCGGTTTTGGATTAAACTTTTGTTTACATTGACGTGATAGGATAGTTTATGTAATTAATTAAAATTTTATTGTGATAAGTTCTGCCACATGAAGTTTATATATATATATATATATATAGAGTCAAATACTGCCTATTTGTCACATGAAGTAGTGTAAAAAATGAAGCACCAGAAATTTACATGGTTTTGCTAATTCATATAGTCAAGAAATTGGAATTTGAATAAATATATAAAGATATTGTAGGAGCTATTATAATATGATTTTGTTGCAAGAAGAAAAATATTGTAGTATGAAATTATATATTTACAGAAATATTTAAATTGAATTTTTTAGTTTAATTTTAAGTAATTAATAATATTATAATATAACTCTAACTAAATATTATAATGTAAGTAGTTAATTAAATAATTTGTAGAATTATTTTATCATTGTTAATACTTAAAAACAAAATCAATGGTCATGACTGAAGACTTAAGTATTAGTTACCCTGGTGAATGAATATGAAGAGGGAGTGCAGGGCCGCAGTTTGTGGTGGTATGGGCAATCTGGCTGGCGTGTGGGATTCAACTTGTTGAATACATCATAAAGCACTCACCACCCACAGCTAACCCTTTATCATTTGTCCCTTTCGCTGGTTATTACCCCTTCAACTTAGATTCATTTCAATTCCGTATACTTTAATTAAAGCTTTCAATTTAATAGAATCCCAAATGAAGTGAGAGAGAGAGTATTTATGATTTGTCTGGAGCTGCAGCATTCGTTAGAGAATCCGATTTCTCTATCTCTCTTTTGTTAGGGGAAAGGGTCCACCATCACAATATTTGCTTCCTGAACTTTAACTTTGGTGGACATCACTTGTGGTACCATGGTTATAAACCAAATGTAAGGACTTAGGAGTTAACAATACTCATAGTGTATACTATTATAACGAGTAAAAGGACAGATGAAGCAATTGCTAGTCATGGGGATGGAGTCAACAAACTTTTCAAGTGCATTTCATATTGGATATTCAATCCGATGACTTTCCAGCGGATCCTATAAAATGAGAAAAGGAGAAAAAGTCGGAGGCTTGGCTTTAAGATTTGAGTAAAAATGGAAAGCTTGTGTCGGGTGATGACTGCCGATTGCACATGCAGCACTCAGAGTTTGAGTCCCCTCTGGGATGGGCATGTGCTTACATTTGTGCCTACTGCCTATGCCATTGTCAGACTCATCCATGTACATAAAAATTATAAGAATAATATTTACAAAAATAAAAAAATGTTTCAAGTGTCGAGCTTCTGGAATTAAACACAATACGAGGACAAAAACATCCAGCGTGAATGTGTGATATATTGAAGGCATTTCACGTAGTATGCACGTCTTGATCTGGTACCTTCAAAAGTTGATAGTGGGCAGTCCAAGGAACCTTGTTAAGAAAGCCCAGAACAAGCTCAATCTAAAAGGACGTAGGCCCTAAGGCCAGTGTTCTGAGAATTGACCAATGGATCAGTGAACATCACCAACCACCCGTTACCAACAGCCCCTTCCCCTCATCTTCACTCTCCCACCGTCTCTCTCATCCACGGCAACCCTCCGCCAGCGCGCGCATCCCCCCCCACCCCCACCTCCTCCCAGAAAAAAAAAAAAACCTAGTGAGAGAGAGAGATGATGCAATCACGCTTTAACTCCCTAGCTCGCACCCTATCATCCGCCACAAGATTAAGGACCTTCTCATCCACAATCGAATCCCCCACCACCAAACCCGATTTCCCTTCCACACTCGGCGGTCTGCGGGCCCGCCTGGCGCCGAATCGCCGGCCCTACCCGATTTCATCGGTCTCCAAAACGATAACCAGTATTCCGTCGAAGTCGGGACCAAGAAAAAGCCACTCCCCAAACCCAAATGGATGAGAGAATCCGTTCCCGGCGGCGATAAGTACGTTCAGATTAAAAAAAAGTTAAGGGAATTAAAACTCCACACCGTCTGCGAAGAAGCTCGATGCCCCAATCTCGGCGAGTGCTGGTCCGGTGGCGAGACTGGGACCGCCACTGCCACCATCATGATCCTGGGTGATACTTGTACTCGCGGTTGCAGGTGGTTTTTTTAGAAAAAAATTAAAGTAAGAAATTTATTGTGGAAAGAGGAAATATTTGAATTCAAATTTTGAGGTTTTTCAGGTTCTGCAATGTGAAGACCTCGCGGACGCCGCCTCCTCCGGATCCCAATGAGCCGGGGAATGTTGCGGAGGCAATTGCGTCGTGGGGTTTGGATTACGTGGTAATTACGAGCGTAGACCGGGATGATTTGGCTGATCAAGGGAGTGGGCATTTTGCGGAGACGGTTCAGAAGTTGAAAGCTTTGAAGCCTAATATGCTTATAGAAGCTTTGGGTATGAATTACAATTTAACATGTAGTAGTTGTTAACTAATTGGCGTGTCCAACGGTATGAAAGTTCAAAGCGTTGCACTTTCTAGATGATAAGTAAAGGGCCTTACAAAAGTAAAATGCTTGTCAGGTTTCGCGATTTGTGATTTGGTAGAGATTCATTTTCACGCTACTATGATAGTTGACATGAATGAAATTACAATGAGGAGTTGTTTTTGCTCATTTGCATCTTTAAAATTTCTCATTGAGTCTGAGTTCCTACATTGTAGCTTATGTTGCTTGCACTATTTTCAATTATGTAGTTCCTGATTTTCGGGGAGAAGCTGGTTGTGTAGAAAAAGTGGCAAAATCTGGACTGGATGTCTTTGCTCATAATATTGAGACAGTTGAAGAACTTCAAAGGGTTGTACGTGATCACCGTGCTAATTTTAAGCAATCTTTGGATGTTCTAACGATGGCCAAAGACTATGCTCCAGCTGGAACACTTACGAAGACTTCAATAATGTTAGGCTGTGGGGAAACACCTGATCAAGTTGTGAAGACAATGGAGAAGGTGAGAGCGGCAGGTGTTGATGTGATGACATTTGGTCAATATATGAGACCGTCAAAGCGGCACATGCCAGTATCAGAATACATTACACCTGAGGCTTTTGAGAAGTATCAAACTCTTGGCATGGAAATGGTATGCACTGATGTTTTATTTTAAGACTTACTGTTTTCTTTATTAATTATGCCAATATATGCTAAGATTGATTGAAACTCTAACGATTCATCTATTTAGTTTTTCTTTTTTTTTTAAACATGTCTTAGTAATTTGCCTCTAGCTTTTTTACCATAATTGGCTCTTGAAAAACTGGTTTGTTCTTAAAGCAGGTTCTGTTAAGTTGCCTTGTCCATGGACCTTAAATGTTCCTCCGTAAATGGATGTATAAGCGAGAAATTAAAATATCAGAATAGATGGCAATATATAATTGCCAAGGATAGCCTTGTCTACTGCATTTTTCTCATCTTTCTTCCTTCTCCTTTTACGATGCCTCAGCATCCTTGATTGGAGCTGGCAGTTAATGAGTTTGAATGATCTGTTCTATTGGAGAGCAGAGAGCTTTCCGGAGATAATTGAAAACTTGTATTACTCAGAAATATTTGTTAATTAAAGACTTGTATTACTTAGAAATATTTGTGATTAAGTGTAATGCTATTATTTTCAGTCCGTTCTCAGTGATCTTGTGTATTTTAGTCCTATGCCTGTATGCAAGTTAAACTTTTGCTTGGTTCCATATGATTGTTCAAGATAGATAGAGCGTAGGTTAGATGCTGACACCTTGCTATTTCTTGCTTGAAGAGATCCATCATTTGATATTGTTTTCTCCTTGACCTTCTATCTTTAGATAAGACGTTAGGTTTAGCAATTAATGTTTTGTCAGCGTATTTGCTATATGAATGATATTTAGTTGTGATAAATACTATTGAAA